AAAGGAAAATTATAGACATATGACTATGGTATGAGATACCGTTGGTCATGTTAATTTGGACGTCTAGTTTCTGCCACACTAGATGGCAGAGACTCTATTTGGATGCTAAAGTGCACTAGAAATTTAATTTTGCCGGAAATGCTAAGACCCAGAAATAGTTATATACATGAAAAAATTATGCATATTAAAAACTATGATAACAGTACCAGGCATTTTTATCAAGTCGTTTATTCTATTACATGATAATTAAACAGGTTGTTTTTTAGACAAAATGCTAACTCTCAAAAGTTAAATCAGTTACCATGTTAGTTAGATCAGAAACCATGATTATGCATAGGCGAATGTTTGAGTAAAACTGTAGAAATCGGGTGAGAAAATCATCTGCTTTCGCACAATTTTGAAGCTGCTTTCTAACTACGTTAGATTCAGGGACTCTAAGAGAAACTCATGAAAATCATTCTAAAATTGCGAACTGTTAAAAAACATTAACATTTTTTTTAACAACACGCCTAAATCATGGATGATATCAGCGTGTCTACAGCAAAATTATCAAAAGTATTAAGTGCTTACGGGAAAAAGAAAGATTACCCGGTAGGCAAATGTGGCAATGGTCGCAGGCAAATCAGTCATTAGAAAAATATCAGCTATTTTTTTTTAATTAGAAACATAACGTGAACCAAAAAGTTTTAATAATAAACATGTTTTCTATTTAATTTTTATTTTTCCTTAATTATCTTTTAACAGTAATTAAATTGAAGACAATCTTTCAAATGCTCATGATTAGAAGTGCAGTAGGGAAATATTTATTCTTAGTATCATAAATAGAAAATGGAAAATTATATACATTTTGACATTTATAAGCATGCTTAGAAATAAAAAAAAGAAGACTATATTTCAGTAGTTTTGTTAGAAAAATATGTTTTAAATCTATGTATTTAACCACTTATGTGAAATTAGGAAGCATATTTTTTTAGTTGAATCTTAGTCTTAATGTTTTCCAATTTTTTGTGGTATAAAAAAATGTTCTCTTAATATTTCTCAAGTATAAGTTCAATATTTTCCATACGCAATATATATTAAAATCTAATATACATTTTAAAACTGTTGTTTAAGATTATATTAAAATGCTATTAAAATTAAATTGTATAAGATAGGATTGAATATTACATTGTTTAATAAACGATTATATTAAATAGTTTTATATATTTAACCACATGTGAGAAAATTGAATTAATAGAATCTCAATTCGTTTTGATTATTTCTTAAGTAAAAATACAATAATATCTATGTGCAACTAATATCAAAATCTAATTTGTATTTTAAAAGAATTGCTCTAATATTTATTTTTCCAAAACTGTTAAATCAACTTTTATTTTCTTTAAAGGTTTTCGAATTATAATGTCATTGCTTAAAACTTACTTCCAGTATAAATTTTCACGCAAACACTATATGCTGCCAGTGATCACAGCAGGGAATATATGAGGTACAGTATAAGAGAATATACTGTATTTAATTAAGAGACAGTGTTATATGCTGTCCATACAGTAGGTTGATAACGATATCGAGATCTGATATTCGTCGAATTGAGGAATTTTGAAATTTTATAATCATCTAAACTACCAAAGAGTTTCACAAATCAAGTTTTTAAAGGAGAAAGGAAGGTGTTAGATAATCATAGTCATGATCAATATCATTGGTCATCATGGTCATGATCACATGATATGCTCCTATTACTATGACTACGCTCATTGACATAATTTCGTTATTCGAAATCTAATTTTTGTTGTAAAAACGAAACCGATTATTGAACATAATACTCCATTTACCATTATGTATAAATTAGTCATCCTTATATTTTAAATTAAAAATAATTAGAACGATGATAAAATCTATGGATTTGTTTTTGGTTAAGTCAAGTTAAGTGTGATTGGATGCTTAACATAAAAAAAAATGAACAATCTGTTAAACAGCATCAAATACATATTAGCAAATCTGAAAGATCGAAAGTTGTGGAAATTAGAAGTAGCCACACTTAGAAACTATAAAAAGCATACCTGCCAACTTTCACTCTTTCCGAGAATGGATTTTCAGAGTAACAATAAGTGTAAAACAATAAACAAAAAACAAACTGACTCAAAAATATATTTATATTTTGATCCCGTTGAAATTCGCTTGCGCAAGGATTATTATGCTTTCATATATTTATTGTAATTATTTATATGTAGTGGTGGTCAAACTCATTTATAATTATCATTATACTTCAAAAAGTTAATTAAAATAACCTGAGTATTGCTATCACTTTAAATATGAAAATAATTCTTCCGGAAAATCCGGAAGAGTTGGCAAGTATGAAAAAGCTATTATGTTCAATCCCTTTAATCCTATCACTCTCACATGTTTTAAATTCGGACAGTTATACTTTGCATTTATCCCAGTCTAATGTAATGTATTGGTAGCATAAAAACCAAAAAAAAGAGTAGGGGATTTTATTTGATGTTATAACCGGCGCTGAAAAGCCGACCCGATTCTGAGTTTACGACTATTAATGCACTATAAAACTACTAAACTATAACTACTCCGTAGTCTTTTAATTTTAAATCTAACCCCAAAAACGAGAGAACTCTTGAATCAAACTAGCTTTTTTTATGAAACTAACCCACATTTCAGTTACATGGAAAAGAACCACGAAAACCTCCCATTATTATTGTTAGCTCGACGGTAAAGATATTCTAACCCATGATCCGTCTACCACTGAGGATATTGTAAGTCAGTACTGTGGTAAGAGCCAGCCGGGAGCAGAATTCGTATCAACCAGCCACCGCTGAGATTCGAACCAGGGTCACTACATTAGGTGGTAAACGCTCAATCCCCAGAGCCACCGCTGCTCAAGAGTAGATGATTTTATTTTTATTTTATAACCGTCGTTGAACAGCCGACCCAAGTTTTGGTTTTACGACTACTAATATTCAACTCCGTTGCCTTGTAATTTTGAACCCGATCCAGAAGACAAGGGAACTCATGTATCAAGTATTGGGTGGAATTTACCTTCGTGGAGGACTTTTTGATGGAACTAACCCGCATTTGCGTTACGTGAAAAGGAAGACCACGAGAACATCCCATGGTTAGCCTGACGACAAGGGGACTCAAACCCATGATCCGTCTACCATTGAGGATATTTCACGTCAGCACTGCGGTTGGTGCAAGCCGGATGCGGAATTCGTATCAATTGGGATTCGAGCCCGGTTCACCTCGTTGGAAGGCGAACACTCTATCCCCTCAGCCATAGCGACTCAAGAGTAGATGATTATCATGTCCTTCCCAAATACTGTGTGACTGTTTTTATTAAAATTCCATCAGAATTCTAAAATAGCTCTCGAACGTTATTACCAGTGCCCGGTTTTGAATTTTGCCTGAGACGTGTAGGGAGCAGACTTGAGGTCCTCTAGTTTTTAGGGCTCTAGTTTAAATTCAAAATAATTTTTACACTTGAAAATCGTCAATTAGAATAATTCAACAAAAATCGAAAGAAACATAAACTTAAATTTCCTAAACCTATCGTAATTTTCTTGTGTTCTAGCGAAATCGGCATTGAATATTTTCTGAGATATTGAATTTCAAAATAATCGTATTTCTATTCGACCGATTACTCTCAAATTTTGGGCTTTGTCATGTAAAATTGAATTTTTTGAAACGACCTAAAAAATTTTGTATTTTACAATTTAAGAATTTTTTTGATTATTATAAAATGAAATAATAAGAAATAATAAATATTTAATATACGTTACCTTTTGCACGGAATTATCTTTGAATAAACGAACTTGATAATTGTGTGCAAAAATTTTTAAATTTGCTTGAAAAGTTCTCGAAATATAGCAAAATACGCAAAAAGTAAAAATAACATTAAGAGGAACCGCTATCTTGACTGAACTATTGAGATCACATTTCCCAGATTGTGGCTACCCCCTATATTTTGGGAGTCAGAAATCACAATTCGAAGAAAAAGAGTTTCTTTATTTTGGAAAAGTACGTTTTGGGATCTGATTTTGTAACTTGAATTATACTATGCAGTAATTAATTAACATATTTGAGGTCCCACCGAGTCTTGAACGTGAAGATCCGATCATTAGATGAAAAAATTATTCCGAATAATACCTTTTTTTTCCGCATTGTATATACATTTTTTAATTTTTTATAATTCTATTTATTATATTTTTAGCCTGATTATTATATTTAGAGCCAGTTTAGACATTTGATCATTAGGAGGCAGGAAGTTCAAAGTTGATTCCAATCGAAATTCTATACTTGTCGTCTGTGAGGAGCACTTTTAAACCAAAAGTGAGTTTTAGTGAGTGTACCGATCATATCATCTGACAATGATTAAAATTATTCAATAAAGTTCTGTTTAGAGTATTGTAAACGAATAAAAATAGGCAAACAGAACTGCGTCGAAAAGTATTGATGTCATAAATTTTAAGTGAAAATTTAAGGGTCTTTCTCTCATACCATACCTCTTCTTAATAATTAATTTTTCAAGTTGTGCAGTTTTTGTTGGATATTGTTGGTCTCTAGCTTAATTAAATTTAAAGAAATTATTTAATTTTTATTGCTTGTTTTAATTTTTATTGCCTGATTTAATTAAATAACACCTGACATTTCAATAAGTGTAATTACGTTTGTGTTTCTAGGAAGTTGAAGGTATTTGAATAAACGCCAAATCAACAGTTTGGAAAATAATGCAAACAGATGAAGCTAAACGACAAAGTTGAACGCTTAAAGCACATATTTTACACCAGAGAAAAATAAAGATTAAACAGTTATACTTTGAATAAGCATTTTGAAAGACGCGAAGGAAAATTTAAGTTGGATATTCTCATAAAAATATCCCAACTCGAAGTTAGCTCATATTAAATTGCAGAAGTATTTCAAACAACAGTCATAAACACACACACGAATCAAAAGCAGGAATTGCTTTACTATTTCAAGATGAGTGGCATCACAGGATAATTTGAGAAACTGGAACACAAAGGTCAGCAGCGGTATCACAGGGGTTAATAGAACCAGAGAAAATCTGTTTTGTCAAGACTCACAGACGTGAAGTATTTCATCGCCAATCTTCTTCTACTATCATTTTGTGAGGATAAATAGGTGAGATTTCCTCGCCATCTTCTCTTCAGACAAAAGATTCCACGTTCAAGGAATGTCTTATAGGTAGGCTATCAAGTTTGAAAACTGGACTGATCATTTTGGCCAAATGATGCGGTGCCCTGTCTCAAAGCTTCCTCGTCATCTTCCTCGTCTTCGTCGTCTCGTCTCTGAGCAACCTGTATCGAAAAAAAAAAAAAATCTTATTTTGTAGAAATAAAGCGATAAAAACATAAATGTTTGCATTTTAGTACAAAATTGTCTTTATGGTGCTACAAAAGTTCCACAAGTGACAAATAAAGCTAGTTTCGTCTAAAAATTGCTCTTATGGAACATTTTTATATCTATTATATATCCGTTTAACTCCGCCCTTGTGTTCAGATTCAGGATAGGGATGCAGGGAAAAAGTGACTCGAGGCTTTAATGTACCAGCTGGCGGGAAAAGGATAAGGTAGTAGGTAGTTAGAAGTATATATCTGCTTTTTCATTCACACTGCAACCTATTATAAGGAAATAAAAATATCCCTTCACCGGTTTTTCGTTTTGTTCGACAAATCAGGATTTTTAAATATCGCAATGAAGAAAATCTCTATTATCGTTTAATCTCTATTTCACAATTCTCTTTTTAAGCTTAAAACCAGCTATTAGATAATCACAACTCAAGGACCTTTTGAAATTCATGAATATATATAGGAGAACCAAGAGCTTAAGTTTTTAGTATTTTAGTAAGTGTGCACAGACAATGGGCGTAAGCATTGGAGCTTAAATATAATGGGCAAGGATATGGGGACTAAAATACAATGATTAGCATGCAACCATTGAAAAATTTTCATAAATTTTTGAAAATTCTTTTTTTCATTTAATAAAAAATTTTCTTATTTCTGATTTTAAGAAGCTTTCTAAAATTATCTTCCTTACTGCGAAGTCAAAAAGGCATAATTCTCTGATCAAGCTATTATAAACAATAAGTTGCGTCAAAAAATTCATTAAACAAAATTGTATGATACGTCGTTGTGATATATTTTATCATTGAAACTTTTTACACCAAGTCTAAGAACATGCTTTCAAGAGACATGTACTGAACAAAAATTTTTAAAAAATTTGGGAAGAAGTAAACTGCTTATTTAAAACTGTTCGCGATAGATCTTCACTGTTTGATTTGAGCAGAAAAAATATCCTAAGCTTTGTTCATTTCAGTAATCTATAAAAATACAAAATAGAGCTTATTAAACAAATGTTTACAATTGAATTTTTTTGAAATAGCATTATGCCTTTAATTTGTTTTTAAATATTTAAAGAAACAAATGATAGCAAAATAAAAGCAAATGTGTCAGAAAAATCCCGTGCATGTAACAAACTTAATTTGAACATGTTACCCAACTTATACTGAGAAGAAGAAGTACGGTCAAATCTACCAGGGTATGGTGAAATTTACCGTGTTTCGGTCTCTATGATAACAATAAGTTCAGTAATGTTAACCGAAAAGCTTTCGTAATGATTTTGGTAAACTTAACAATAAAATATGTTTTTATAATATGTGATAAAATTTGGTAATTTTACATGATACCTTGGAGCATGGCATAAAAGCATGAATTTTTTTTTCGAAATGTGTAGTAATTAGAACTATAATTTTGAAAACCAGAACTTCCGGCAATCCATTACCATATGATAGGAAGTATAACTAAATGAATGGTTTATTTTTGTTTTATTAACCAAAACTATGTTTTTTTCTAAACCAATGTTATTACTATACAGTACGGTAGTTTTCCCAGAATTTGTTTCCTCCGTTTAATATGTATATGGTACATGACATTATAGCTAAAACTGTGGCACCTACTTTCATGATGGTATCGGAATCGGCTAAAGCTTGTTTTGCGAGATATCTTTCTCGCTTGATCTTCAGTTCAAGGGCCTCTGGAATATCTGGCACTAACATGTCGATTAAACGGCACACTGTAAAAACGATGTGCTGAAAGAAAAGTGAACTAATTTTCAGCATTAAAATACAAAAATTTTTTGACAAGGCAAATAATGTAGCAAAGCGATAAAAAATGTTTAAAATAAAAATGTATAAATTGTGATTTACCTCAAAAAGTATCACGAAGCCAAAACGTAGGGCTAATAATCTCCAGTAAAATGTTGTTAAATTTCCGTTTTCATCTCTAAAATCTGAATATCTGAAAATGAGAAATAGTAAGTAAAAATAGTTTAAAAAATAATTAATTAAATGAGCAAAAGAATTTCAAAGAGAACAATTTATGTATTTTTTAATTATTAATTTGTTAAAATGTATCTAACTCATTGTCACTAACAAAAAGACTTAATGTAATTTTTTCAAAACATAAATGCAATAGGTTATGCACATTATTTTTCAGGAAATATACTTTTTAAGAATAAAATTTACTTTATAAAATTTTTTTTAGTATCTTTGTCTTTTATCAACATCTTTTTTGAACTGAGAAAAAAGTATGGTCGAAACTACCAGAATACGGTGAAATTTAGTGTATTTCCGGTTAAGTAGGAACGCCAAAAGCCTAAGTAATTAATTTACTGATGCACTTTGGCAATGATTTTTGTAAAATTAGTAATAAAATGGTATTTTAATAATATGTGAAGGAATTTGGTTAATAAGGTAAAATTTGGTAATTTTATCAAGAATACTTTGAGCATGCCATAAGAAACCTTTTTTTGGTTAAATTTACTTTTCAGTTTTGCATTTTTTTTTTAACCAAATGTATGGTAATGAACACTCTAAACTTTAAAACCAGAATTTCAGGTAAACCATTACCATACGAAATGTAAAGTCACCAAATGAATGGTTTAAATAAAATGCGTTTCAGATATTATTACCAGAATCATAATTTCTTTTTGACCAGAAATGCTATTACCATACAGTATGGTAATTTTACTTCGTATGCTAATTTTAATTCGTTAGATTTCGACATTTTTTTCTCTTTCTGGCTTAAATTATAACTCGAGTTATTTAATGCGTGTACTTTTTTGACTTTATTTTTGACAAGGATACTAAAAATATGTTTTTGTGTGGCCTTTAAAGATCAATCTTCATCCGGATTTCTGAAGCAAAAAGAGATTTTAAAATTCAGTGAAATCTGTTTAAGTTGACTTTTTATGGTCCTTTGTTTAAAAAGTCAACTTATAGAGGAAGATGACTCATTATTTTTTATTATTTAAATCACAATACTTTTATATACAAGATGTTGTTGATGTTATTAATATGTAACCAATCAAAAATATAATTAATATATTTTATATATAACCAATCAAAATAGATATATATTTCAGTAATTTTGACAAGAATTTAAAAATTCTATTTATTAGGTACACATGTATGAATTTGCAAAACTTAACATTTTCTCATTTTAGCGATTAACAATTCAGTTCATTTGTACTTTCAAACCCACTTTTTTTTCCAAAAACCCTCACCCTTTTCACTTTCTCTTTGTCATTCTCAGCGTTTACCATAGAAGAATATTTTTGCAGTATGTAAAGATGAAGTAAAGAAAGTTTATGGCAAAAATATTCGATCTAGTGATGGACATCACAAAAATATGTTATAAATAAACTTTAAAATGAGTATTAATAATTAAATTCTATTAATAATTTTTAATAATTAAAACAACAAATGACAATATGCATAAATAAAAACCCCAGACTCTTTCTAAAAATTGTGAATTTCGGTAGCTAATCATATATTTTAAATCCAAAAATTTGAAACTAAAATGAAAAATTACCTGCATGCTTGAGTAAGAGTGCCATTTGGAGCCCATGCTAAAGTAAAGTTGACATATCCTTTAAGATCCCAACTATATTCATACTCGTATAATAACTTCGGAAGAAACTCTGAAGTAAATGCTATGAGAAATGCCTGCAAATATTTATTTTCGAATTAGCTGTCATCGGAAACTATAAGTAGTACTACATTGTATGTAATAATAATGCAATAGACATTTTACTTGCGAGATATATGCTTTAATGAATCACTTTTAACTTAAATTGGAATAAATTATAACACAGTAATAAGTTGTTTCATAAGAGTGAGTTGGAAAAGAAAAAAAATTTCTAATTATAAATATCTGGAAAAAATGTAGCACATAAGTGAGGAGAAATTTCTTTTATTTATAGGTTTGTCGGAAGCATAATATTTATTTTAATTTAAATTAATGGTAATATATCACGTAATTCTATCCTGTCAGAATTTTTGTTGCATAATAAATCATAATATCGTTTTGTACCATAATGTAGGATGCCAATATGAGCCGTAAATAACATGTGAAAGTTATTCAGGGTTCATATTGGCTTATATGGTTATATATCATTGTTCTTCTTATACTTAAATGCCCGAGATTATGCTTCAACTTAAAAAAAATCTTTCAGTTAAACACATTTTAAAGGTTGCAGGCAATTTGGACATCATTATGGTTCAATGATTATACTGTATCATGGTATTAATATTATTGTTCACGGCATGTATATTATGGTTTGCATTGAATCAACAACTCTGGGAGGGTATAGATAGAATGTAAAGTCAAGCTTATATGTAGTTAAATAATTTTAGTTAGACAACAATTATAATTGTAAAAAAATGGTGCTTAAGTACATTACATTAAAGTGATTTTTATCTACTTGATAGAATCACATGCATTTTTTGGTCGAGATAGCTTGATTTTTAGGGCGTTGGGCCAACACCTCCTAGAATGAAGGCCTCAGCACGACACACCCCTCTCAATCCTTAGTAGTCCAACGAGAATCCTTACCGCGTCTTTTCAGAAAAGCTTCGATCGGATACTTTATATGAGTTTGTTTTTAATTAGAAACTTACCTTTCAAAAAATAAAATTTTTTAAGCACTTTTCGTCTCTACTGAAAAGAATGAAATTTATCGAACATATACTAACATTCTGAGAAAAATTATTTTAATTGCATTATCAATTGAAATAAAGATATTAAAAAAAAATTNGTATATATAATTAAATTCTATTAATAATTTTTAATAATTAAAACGACAAATAACAATATGCATTAAAAAAAAACCCAGATTCTTTCTAAAAATTGTGAATTTCGGTAGCTTAATCATATATTTTTAATCCAAAAATTTGAAACTGAAATGAAAAATTACCTGCATGCTTGAGTTAGTGTGCCATTTGGAGCCCAGGCTAAAGTAAAGTTGACATATCCTTTAAGATCCCAGCTATATTCATACTCGTATAATAACTTCGGAAGAAACTCTGAAGTAAATGCTATGAGAAATGCCTGCAATATTTTTTTTCGAATTAGCTGTCATCGGAAACTATAAATAGTACATTGTATGTAATAATAATTTCAATAGACATTTTACTTGCGAAATATATGATTTGATGAATCCCTTTTAGTTTAAATTGGAATAAATAATAACACGGTAATAAGTTGTTTCATAAGAGTGAGTTGAAAAAGGAAAATAGTTTCAAGGAATAGTCCACCCTCTAAACCGGGTTGTGACATCTGCATGGCTGAAGTCGTATTTTTTGCCATAGATGGCACCACTGAAAAACAAGAAACGCACCCTCTGCCGTAAATTCACTGGATTTCGCCAAGCAGGCTTGCTAGTATTGACACGTGGCATAAGAAACAACAAAATGCTATTTTAAAGGATATTTGAATCTTTGAACACATCTTTCTCCTCAACATTCATGTGAAATGTCGTAAGCTAATTGAAACTCTTTGCAAACTGCCGACATCGTTTGTTAGGCTTATTGCAGTGTGCTTCTTGGAGCATTACAAAGAGATGTCGGTAGTTTGCAAAATGACCAGAGCTTCCAATAATCCTAAGACATATACAATAGTTTCTTCTGCACGAATTATGCTCTACAACGTCGCATATAGCAATTTTGTTTCTTATTTTTATCATTTACCATATCGAAACATTATAATTCCGAATCTTTTCTGTAGGATGCTCCTCTTAATTATTCTAGGCATTAAAAGAGAAATAATACGGGGCACGTGTAACTGTTTGAATTAAAAATGTTGTGTTCAAAAACTTCTCGATACTTACATTACTTATAACAGCTAGGTGAGCTAAAAGCTCTAGAATGCTGAACCAAATTCCAATGTTTTGTGCTCGTTCAGCAACCACTCTACGGGTCTCGCATACAAATTTCTGCGCATCCAGTCGAATCTCTACCCAGTTATTCAATAAGGCGAAAAGAGGAGCTATAGGAAATGCTGCCACAAATATGGTGATGAAACCAAATTGAAGAACTGAAAGAAAAGCGATCATTTTACTTCAAAAAACTAATATATTAATGATATTAAATAAAGAATCATAATATTATTTCATGTAACTTATATAACAATCGCTATTTTGTATATGTGTTTAAAAAATATCCGTTATGTTCGCATACTGAGTTTCCTGAGTTTAAGGGGGGGAAGGAGACTATCTAGGTGTGTGTCTCTTTTTTGTTTGCTTATCTCAAGTAGATTCCAGAGCTGACATAACATTTTCTATCAGGGAGTTGGCGGCCCATGAATTTATGAAAATATGCTTTTAAAATAAACAATGAAAATAAATAATTGCACTGAAGAGTTTTAGTTATAGAAATATCATCCATTAAAAAAAACGTACATTTTGTAAGGTTGTAAAATCTTAAATATAATTTAATTTATTGCTTACTTGAAAAGCTTTTGTTTATTCTTTGTGCTCATTTTAATTTTTAAAAAAAATTTAAAAATCACGAAAAAATTCAAATTAAGCATCTAATTTGCTAGTCTCACTGTAATTTGTAAGTTGTAATTTATTAGTCTCACTGGGCCGCATCGCTTGCTTAAAAGATATATCGATCAAGCATGCATATGAACGAATACCGATAAGCAATACTTAATAATAATTCTTCGTGATGAACTTTTAGTCTTCGTGTAAAATAAACATTTTCATTTGAGTCACAAAACAAAAGAGAAATGTAGTTAAACAACTAACAAAGCATTACTGAGGACAGCGGCACTAAAAATGTCAAGACTTGATTTCCATAAAAAACGAATCGGAGTAGAAACCCGTTCAAGTTTCGTTAAACAATCAAACTGAATATAACCACCTCCCTCAACAACGATTAGATTTCGATGGCCTTTTCTATCTCATTCGCTTAAATATTATTTCGCGGCAGCAATGTGTGTATACTTTTTTGATTTAATTTTTTACAAGGGTTCTTAAAAATACATATATTAAGAGTGATTATTACGGAACATCCTGTTTACAGAAATTGCTTTACTTTTATGTAGAAAAAAAGATAAGCACAAGCTAAATATATATTTCACGTGATGCGTACCCATTTCTAGATATTCTTGGAACAGCCCTTCATTTTCAATCAGCTGATAATCTTCTTCCCATCTTGCTAGCTTTATGGCTGAACCCAGCTTTGTCCTTTTTCTATGGAACCATGCTTTCATTTTTCTAATGAGCATTCAAAATAAATCACAATTATTAAGTATTAAACTGAATAAAAAATAAAATTTGTTATAGAAATCAATCAATTGCTTTTAAGCAGCACTTTCACTAGCATGAAAAAGAAATAATAATAAAGGCTTAGAGTGATAAATTAAGCCAAGCAATAAGAATTCAAGATGCGGCTTACGTTAGATAGCAGAATATATCATAAATTTAAAATTTGGAGCTCTTTGACTGATTTCGATCAAATTTTGCTTTTAACCTTATCAAATTACATTTTTCTAAATGGTATAAAACTTTTATACATTCAAATTTAAAAAAAAAAAAAAATTAGTCGGTTATTAAATAAAATAACAAATAATTATCAAAAGTTTATTTCTTGTATAGAATTATCTTTGACTAAATAAATATTATAATCATCTGTAGAAACTTTTCGCTTAGCTTAAAAAAGTTCTCGAGATATGGCTATGCACACAATAAGTAAAATTAATATTAAAAGGGGCAAACTTTGGACTGATCTCTTGATCAAACATTTGGAACCATATTTACCAGATTGCGGCTACTCGCTATATTTTGAGATTGAAAAATCTGAATATTGTCTGATTTCGCAACCTAAAATATCGCCGTTTCAACTAATAAGCATATTTAAGGTCACTCCCTTTAACCTTCAAGATTGAGCACTAGTACGTGAATTCCGACCATTAGATCAAAAGTTATTCAGAGCGATTCGTTTTTATTTTCGCGCACAGAAATCATGATGCTTAAAATATTTATTAGTAAGAATAAAAATTAAAAAAAAATTATTTTTTTATTTTTAATAATTTAGATATTTTATTTGCACTGATGTTTCATTAAAAGTTTGTCCAGTATTTAAAAGATTGTCACAAATTCAAATATAAAGGTAAAGCGTCCTCCATTGGTCATTATAAGCGGTGCAGTTACAAAAATGTCCACAATATTCTTATTCCTAGTTCCGAGGAAAAAGCTTAAAAGCTTTTTTGACCAGACGCAGAAAATAATAATAAATATAAAAATATGGAAAAAAATAAGAAATAGATAATTTTGCTTGAAACAACCGTAAAAAAGTACTCCTTGAGATTATGCTTAAAAGTATGTGTAAGAAACTCTACATATAATTGATTTAAGTTTTGAAAAGTAGAATATTATGATGAAATTATCTTAATTAAGTGCTTATAGAATTACCTTTAAAACGCAAAAAGTATTAAAATATATAACATAAAATTTCACTTAAACAAGAACTCAAAACTGTGTTGTTAAAATCATTGTTCGAAATTTACCCAACAAAGTGACTTAAGTTACCCCCACTGGCTTAAGTAACCGCGGATCATAGTACATACTTGACAATGAGGAATCTTACTTACGGTAGCAAAATTTCTTGAGCATTGTTTATTACTTGTTTTCCAATCATGATGATCGCCAACTGCTGAGCCAGTTCCATTAAACAGCCGCTGTTACCACACTGAAAACAATGCAAAAAATCGAGTTCACGAAGAATAAAACGTGAATAAGATAATGCATTTTGCTTTCAATTATACAATTTCTTTATTTTACTAGAAATACAAAGTTTTGATAGACAAGATTTGTAATAATTTAAATTAACTACGCTTGAATTTTCTTCTAAAAAAGTCTTGAAACAGTCTATTGTCGTTTTCATTTTGTTATTATTATACTATGTACGAATTTTTGTTAAACTCAAAACTTTTTTGTTATAAAATAGTTTGTAAACTTTCAAAAAACAGCAACTTATCATAGTATTTTTTCCCCAGAAGCACATTGTTGAAGCACAACTATATCTTAAGTAAACACGTGGTTAAAAACTGCTAATTTGGTGACGTAGCACTAAATGCTAATTTGGTGACGTAGCACTGATCTGCGTGTCATTCACGTTGATGACTGAGATTGTTAAATATAATTAAACATCAAAGGACGTGCTACAAAGTCTTAAACAGGATTCGTTAAAAATTTTCTTTATAATGATAATGTTAAGCTAATGCTACAAAAATAATTTTTCAAACACTTCTCCCGAACGGGAAAATTGAAATTTTTAAAGGAGTTTTTGGAACGGGAGCTAAAATTGGTTCCTGTAGTCGATGTCCAAATTTCAGAGCCCTAGCACCAATAATTCAGGAATTATAAGAAATTCAAAATAGCGTTCCGCAACAAAAACCGACAAAAATTTGAGTAAAAACAGAAGAAAAAAAATTAAAAAGTCTTAAGTCTAACTTAAGAAACACGAAATCCATCTAACTGTAGAGCTATTCATTCGATAATCAATTAATTATTTAATGTGTATAAATTCACTTTTATTAAGTGAATCATTGTGAAAGGTTTATTCTAAAATCTTTTTGTCGGAAAATAATGAAAAATAAAATTATATACTTCATTTTTGTTGACTCTTAGAATGTTTAAAAGTAGAAAAAAATTACTATAACAAACGGAGAAAAATATTCTGAAAACCGTAATAATAATTTAATCCTATTCAAAACTTAAATTACACTGTAGTCTACGTTTTGAATTCAAAAGAATAGATGTGTTACAAACAACCAAATAGCAATAAATGAAACAGATTTGAAGAATTCTGTCTACAAACATCTTGAAATATAAGATATAAATGCATCTACTTTATTATGTCTAAATCCCAATTGCATCCATAAGTACCAAGTGCAATGTAAAACGAATAATTTTTTAATGCTTGTTGAATAATAAAATTTAAAATCTACGTCTGAATTTGAATGTCAGAGCTAAACTTAAATTTAGATTTAAACTTAATCTTAAAACCACGTCTAAATTTAAATGGAAGAAAAGCCCAAAATGTTCATATTGGAAACATGTTATGTTTAGATGTAAGTATAGATATTGTTTTTTTTTCAGGCTCTTAAATAAGATGATTTTTAATGAGAAAATGTGCTTTTCTCATTAATGTTTTTCCAACTCCAAAGCTGACATTCATTAAATTCACTGAAATGTCGTTCGGAATCTTCTTTAAATAAGCTTCTCAAATTTATATAATTTTAACTATTAGCAAGTTATATGCTATTTATGAATCTCTTAGTATTCTAGAGATAAAAGAATAATACTAACTCAACCCCTACATTTCCTTCTCTTTTAATGTAGTGTTCTAGTTAAAAATATTCCAGTTTGTGGAAAATAACTGAATATTAGGAAATTTTATTAAAATTATGTGATGAGTTATATTTATAAATAAAATATATACTCTAAACAATGTTTCAAATTTAAATTTTTTTTATCGCAAATACATTAGCAAACTAGGGAATGTTTTTGTAAAACTTTTCAATTCTATTTCCGTCAATAAATTTTAAAAAAATATGTATGGTTGCAAAGCGCCTATATTTTACCTCCTCACTCCTAAGTCCTAACATCTTCTTATAATTTCCAGGATATCCAACAAATCTGTAAGTAGAAAATGATAATGAATGCTAACTTCATCAAAGACAATTTTTTTGGATACGCTTGTTATATCTTATAAAGTATATACGAAACTCTTTAAAAACTCTAGAGTACAAATGCATAGTTAAGCGTAGTAGGTCATGAGCATTGTCGAAGAACGTAAAGATATAAGAAATTGTTTTACAATATGTAACATATTATTTTACACATTGATACAAAACTTACATAGTTAATAGTAGTAGGTCATAAGAATTGACAAAGGAGGTGAAATCATAAGAAATTATTTTACAATATGCAGAAAATTCTTTTGCATGTTAATACAATGCATATATAGTTGAGAGTAGCAAGTCATAAGCATTGTCAAAGGACGTAAACACATAAGGAATTATTTTACAATACATAACATATTCTTTTACACATTAATGTAATACATTCAAAGTTAAGATTCATAAGCATTGTCAAAGGACGTAAACACACAAGAAATTATTTTACAATATGTAGCATATTATTTTACATGTTACTGCAAAAGTTTCAAAAATAATACTATTGATTTACAATTACAACTTTACAGCTTTTACATAAGTTTACAACTTTTGTATTACTTTAGAATTAAAGAAAAATATTTTAGTTAAATGTTGAAAGTATTACTATTTATTATATATTATATATTTTTATTTTGAAATACATTGGTTAAAAAAAATTCTAACATACCTTCCCTTAAAAAATGCAATGTAAAATATTGAAGAGTAGAAGTTGATAAACTGAAAGATGAATACTTTGAATGTCAAGTTGTCATCAAAATCAGTTTGAGTTCTGTGCATTTCTGAAACACATAAAAAATATTAAAATTTATTGTTTTCATAAATTGGAAAAAAATACTGCAGTAAAATAATGCAATGAAAAAAATTTAAATTATCTAAAGCAAAGAGTTTCCAATCTAAACTCAAAAACCGGGGTGGTTTCGCAACAAAAGAATCTATTTCAAAATTAATTTCCTTAATTAGTCATTAAAAATATCGTGACTAAAATAAGAGTATTTTAAATTGACTCCTGAAATAATGAGAATTTAGAGAAAGAAAAATCGAATCATTATTATTATTTTAGTACTACACATCAAAGGCAGTAAAATTAATGAATAAAAAATATCAAACTAAAATAAAATAAGAAAACAATTAAAAACCCTGAATAACTTTTGACCTAATAATCTGAGTTTTAATGCGATGTAATTTGTATTAATTATTCAATAAATAATTTTACTTATTTTATAAGTTCAGTAAAATAAATAAAAAATAAATAAACTAAAATTAAATAATAAAAAATTTAAACACTCTGAATAACTTTTGACCTAATAATCTGTGTTTTATTTAAATTTATTTTGATTATTCGAGAAGTTAAGCTTAAAAATGCTCATTAGTTAATGGCCCGTGGCAGAATGGCAGCGCTTTGGACCCCCGTGCCACTGGTCTGGGGCTCACTCCTTGGTTCACGCAAGTTTTACTCCGCCTTTTATTCCTACAGTGGGTAGATAAGATGAGTACGGAGCATGCTTGGGGACTGAACATTGCTTTGCTGCATCCAAACCGGAGCAGAGCATATGCTCCTTCACCTCAGAACACAAGGTCAAGAAAACTGGGAGGGACATAGAAGGCATTGGCCCTCCTTGAGCTGTCGTGCACCAGAGTTTAATTTATTAATGTAGACGGCATTTTAAGTAGCGAAATGGGTAGCAAAACTTCACTTTCTATAAATAAAAATGCTTTTTTATTTTCAAATTATACAGGGAACAACTTTTTTTTGCTTAATTTTTCGTGAGACTTTCTGAATTGATTTTCCATACTTTCACGTCATTGATTTTAAATCTGTAATCGATTTCTCTCTCCAAGCTCAAGTTTTCTTTTTAAATGATATGTTTAGTCTAATTTTTCGAACACTATATATAACTGGTGATTGCATAGATGTGACAACAATCTGCTAGGGGAGTTCGGACATATCATCAGGATTAAAAATCCATAAAAACCCATGCCCGGAACTGTCGTCATATACCACTAGGAGAACTCTACCATGTTTCTTTGTGTGCTTCTGAACAGGTCATTATAGGAAAGCGCCCCTAGCGGCGTGTGATTACATTTTCATGAATGGGTTCCGGTGCAATTTTAATTCTGTAGATGTTCCCTAACTCCCCCAGAAGTTTATCGTAGCATTTATGCGACTACGTGTTATATATAATGTTTTTAAACTTGTAAATTTCATTTCATTTGTTAGCATGACCTACCCCACTGAGTCAACGTCAGAGCTAATTTTTCGTAGACTCTCCCAAGAGCCATAATCAGAAGTAGATTGACAACAGCTCCGGTGGAACTCGCTATCAGTGATGCTGCTCCCCTAAAAGTGTCCGTTCTAAATAGAAATATAGACACCAAAATGCGATAAATGATAACAGCAACGATGAATATCATAACTAAGGCCATCTGCAAAAGACCAACAGAATTACAAATTAATTTCATTTCATTCATCAAATCTTAAATACTAATAATAATCGACTGTCTCACCATCACGAGTATAGCACCTGATCCAATTGCTATTCTCTTGTACCTGATAGATGTGGGAAAAGATGGCTCTTTAATTCCTGTAATTGGATTTCGTTCAACACAGGGAGCCTTAGCTGCAAATTCTGGACGAGGCCTCTCCTACACAGATGAGAGAAATAAATAAATAAAAATTAGAACATTGTACCGTTGCGTATAGGGATAAAGTAGAAAGAAACTTAGTACATAAAGGTTAGAAAATTACTACTTAAGAGAGAAAAAACGAAGCCTGACAAAGGCAAGGGCACATGGGGCAGTTGCCCTGGGCGGGCCCCCCTTCAGAAGGGGCCTCCAAATCGAATGAAATATTTATTTTAGATTTAATTCTTTAATGCACTTTTTTAAACAAAATATAAGTATAGTGTAAAATCCGTCTGTTTTATGTTAGCTTCTTCATTAATCTATCGTATGAACATAATAAATCTATATTTCGTAAATCCATGGCTTTCTAGGGCGGAATTCAGCTGAATTTTTGCAATTACAATTGACAAATTTGGTCAATCAAAACCCTGTATTTTTATATATCGCAAAATGTGATATTTTACGAAAATACAGGCTTCTGATTACCTTAAGTGAGCCATCGTAATTGCGAAAATTTCGCTGAATTCTGCCCTAATGTCAGCAAGGATATGAATTTTTCGCAGCTAGACGACAAAGTTAAGAATCAGAAAACTGCATTCGACATGATGGACATAGAATTGTCAGAAAATGAATAAAATGGACAGAACGGTACCATTAGAGGGAGGGGGACGACTTTACATCTATTTTAGGTTCTAGTCAATTTTCTTGTTATATATGGATAATAAAGTGAAACATTTAAATACCTCCATATAGTTCAGAGGGAGGGGGCCCAAAGAAGTTTTGCCCCCGGTCCCAAATAGGCAAAATCGGGCCCTGAGAAAAAGCGGTTTTAAACTCATATCGTTATAGTAGCTGATCAGAGTATGAAATAAATTGAAGTAATAAATTGTTCGCAACTCTGAAAAAGAAAATGCATTTCAATTTAGGTTTTTATATTATTTGTAGAAGTTTTACCTCTTCTTCTTCAAAATCCATGCAATCCCAATGGTGTGCAAGACTGGCGCTTTTCCTCTTCCAATATTCCAAAAAAGAAACAGCTGCAATTAATGAAATTATTTAATGTTTTGCAAAGGAAATAATGTTTTGAGACGTCATATAAATTTATGCATTAAATATATAAACCTGCATAAATTTATAAAAGCTCCACCCCTTGTTATAATAAAAGCCAATTGCATTCCAAATTAATGCTTTTAAATCAATTTTATAGAATTAAATGAGGCAAGAGAAATGTTTCCTGGTTTTTTTTATTGGTTATGAGCTCTTATTAGGATTTGTGTTAGGTATGATAATAGATCATGCTTCAAATAAGGTACATGAAACAATAACAATTTTTCACTACAGTTAAAAGGAGAGAAAAAAAAAACGTGGCACAATAACACTTGTTTGCCTTATTCAATTTTGGCACCATTGCCTTAGTGGAAGATGACATCATAATATTTCACGAAAAGCCATTAATAGATGGGTTGTGCAAAGGAAAGTGAACATGAGGGATAGTTATATGTTATGAATATGTGTTATATTCATTATATGAATATGCGTTAAAAATATGAAAAACAATATCAGTTCTATCGTAAAGGTTAAAAGAACGACATGAGATAACATAAAGGCATTTAAAGTGAATATGAAACTCAAACAAAAAAAGATGCTTAAAGAAAAAGAAAACAAATAGTAGAATTTTTAGCAGTAAAAAATGGTTCTATATTTTCGTTAAATAAGCCTTGCAAAAAGCTGTACCAATACGCATACAAAAAAAAAAAATGGACTACCCCGAATAACTTTTGTTAACTAATAATGATCGGATCTTCACGTTCTAGGACTCAACGTTAATGATTAGGGGGGGGGGGTATCCGAAATATCTTAGTAGAAAGTGCATGTATAATGCAGACTAATTAATAAAATCAGACACAAAAACGTAGTTTTTCTGAATAAAGATACCTTTTTTCAACGGATTCGGATTTCTGACCTACAAAACATAAGGGAAATCTGGGAAGTATGGTCCTAATAGTTTGGTCATGAGAACACTCCAAAGTTTGGACAGCTTAATGTTAATTTTACTTTTTGCGTGTTTCGCTATATCTCGAGAACTTTTTAAGCGAATTGAAAAATTTTTGCCCACAATTATAAATTTTATCCGTAGCAAAAGAAAAAAAAACTTTCAGTGAAAGGTTATTATTTTTTATTATTTTATTTAATAATGGTCGAAAAAATTTTGAAATGTAAGGCATACAATTTTTTCCATCATTTTAAAGAAAATAACTCTACATGGCAAAATACAAAATTTGCGCAAAATCGGTTGCATAGTTCCGAAGAAATTGAATTTGAAAAAAGTCGCATATTTAAAATTCGATTTCTCAGGAAAAAGTTGCTCGATTTTGCTCAAATTTTGTATTTTCTCCTGACCAAGCTATTGGGTCCATACTTCCCAAATTGCTGCTATTATCCTCTATATTTCGGGGGTCAGAAATCTAAACCCGTCAAAAAAAGGTATGTTTATGCAGAGAAAGCATGTTTTCATATTTGATTTCGAAGCTTAAATTATCGTCCACACCAATTAATTGGCATATTTGAGGCCACCCTCTCGAACTATTAAGTTTGAGTCATAGTACGTGAAGATCCAATCATTAGATCAAAATTAACTCTGGGTGGTTCATTTTTTGCTCACTGTACGTGTCAAGAATCATAACCCTTTCATTATTTCCTCGAATTCCTTCATCAACAGCAGCGATGGATTCGTGGGAGCTCCTGACTTTCGCCAACCCACCGGAAACAGACCGGCTTTTCCAAAATCCGGACACAGAGTTGCCATAAAAGCAATCATTACTCTGTAAACGTTTTCTCTGCCATTAAAAATCCCACTACTGAGTGTTATTCTATTGCACACTCTGCACGACCTTACATTCACTCTAAATACTCTTATGTGCGAGGTGGTTAATTAGTTATAAGAAATATTTGGTTTGTTATTTTTACTTCAAGTTATATGAATGATATTAAAATATATTCTCACCCCAGAAAGAGACAAAGACGGCGTAGAAAACGGTTCCGGGATGATCGAACAGGTATGAGAGTTTACTAAACATGCATATATCACTGAGATACCAGTAAGCACAGCCATAGCTCTCTTCGCATCTTGGGCACATCAAGAATGTATTCTTGCTGTCACATACTTCATTCCTGAAATCGAAATCATTACCTGTTATGTTGAACGAACACATTATGCATTAAATTGATTTCCAAAACAAACAGTTGCATGTGTACAGGAAATAATTACCGTACGCACTTACGATGGTGTGTCATTATGCATCGTCAGTACGCCGTAGAGGAAAACAGCAAACCCCACGACAGCAGCAGGAAAAAGCCATCCAGTGTAGAAACCTGAAAGAATAAATGTATTCAGTTTATGCACAGTTATAAAAATAACACGTAGCCTTAAAGAGTGTATGAACTTTGTTAATTTGCATTTATTAAACTAAAATGAATTTTGGAAGTAGAAATTCATAGAGTTTCTGCCCAAGTATCAAAATCTCGTGAGACCTGAAAGAATGAATGAATTCTTCTTATGTTTAATTATAACGTTAGCCCGAAATGAGAAAATATAAGTAAACCAGTATGTATGCTCTTCTCATTGTGGGTATAATGACCATTAGCGGAAATTGGGGACTGATGAGCTCCCATACTACACCAAAAGCTTGAACTACAAAAATGTGGAAATTCAATTTCTAAACTTGAGGTCTCCAATTTAGCTGAGTATTTTTTACAAGGAATATATAAAATTTTAGGTTAGTATTTCCATCTTGCTTACCATTATTGCTAAAAAAAATATCGAAGGAACCAAGGACTATATTACGAATATTTATTACTGAAGTTTTTATTTTTAATCTCATAGCTCTTGTTTCTGGTATGGACACAACATTATTATTATTATTATTATTTTTTTTTTTTTTTTTGGTTTCAAAATTAGAATCGGTATAGCTGACATGGTAACATTTTAAGTACCATAAGAAGCTTAGATATAAACTAAAAGCGCACCTAAAGTACAAAAAATATCATAAACTTATATAAAAGAGTTCTTAAATTTGTTCTTAAAATGGCAAAAATTCAAACAAGAGTGTGTATTAAAGCATAAAAATATGATAATAAAAAATTTCTCTTGATATAATTTTAAAATATTGAGAAACTTAGCTTGCTAATTAAATACTCACCCAACCAAGCAAAATATATTCCTATTTTTTCACCAAAATATTCTCTAATGTGGTCCAGTGGTTGGTATTTGTACCACTTTCCCCATCTTGCCCAGTAATTGTAAAGGATTTGGCGCTTATTCAGATTTTCTGGTGCAACAGGCCGATCAGGAAGATGATAGGGGCCCTGAAACAAGATTAAATATTAGTAAAAAGAATAAAACATTTTAAAATAAAATATCAATTATACATTTATAATGTTTGAGGTCTAGAATATCACTAACAAAACCACTTCTTAGAATATATATATTTTAAAGAAGAGTTGGTTTATTAAAAGATTTCAATGTTTGTAAGTAAGGCTAGGACAAAATCTAAATCAATTGGTCTGAAGCGAAATGCTTTTAGTTTGTGTGGCTATAGTGCTCACCCATCCCAGAAAAAATATATTATTTTCGTGGTTGCAAAACATATATCGTGCTTACCTACGGATAGCTTAACGATAACTTAACCATTTCGACTAAAATACATACTTAACCTAGAAAACTCGCTTCATTAAGCGTACAGCCCCCATTAGAGAACTGTATGAATAAAAGGAATAACTGACAGGCAATGAGTATTTCCCGAAGAATATAGATGGCAGCACTTTATTAGAATTTTTAAACGTTAAATGTTTTTGCTCTATTTTTCAAGTTTTTCAAAAGGGCACTATAAATATTTATAAAGAATTTTTTAATAGTTTGGCAATATATGTTTTATTTTGATTCGGCCATTCTAACTGAAACTTTATCGTTGTTTTTCTTACATGTAGGCCTTTCATTTTTAGTTTTATCTCTGTTTGTTAGTTTTTTTAGTTTGTTTGTTAGTTTTTTTAGTTTGTTTGTTAGTTTTGTTAGTTTGTTTAGTTTTATCTATTTGACTTGTGTTTGTGCATCATTGATTTTTCATTGCATTTACATTTCAATTTTTTAAAATTTTTTATTGCTTTTTCTTATTTAGCTTATCCATTATGGGCGAATCGGGACGCGACTTTACACATTGTCGACTCCCGGGCACTTCCACTCTCCGCGGTTTTANAAACAGTTGACAAATAAAACCGCGGCGAGTGGAGGTGCCCGGGAGTCGACAATGTGTAAAGTCGCAATCGGGACACAGTCAGTTTTTGGTATTACCACTAACGACAGAAAGGCTCTTGTGTTAGCAGACAGTATGTCCCCTGCTGAATGCTGTTTTTACTAACATGCATATCTTCAGAAATTCTTTTTTTCTTCTTGATTTCTGTTTCTAACTTTCTAAATTGTTAAAATTAAGACAAATTTGGCTTTAGTGCTTTTCCATTTTGACCTATTGTTATTTTAAATCTTATTTCGCTTTTTTCTGAATTTGTTGGCTCTTTAGTTGGCACACTCTGCTGATTTTGTAGTCAAAATGGGGCTGTCATCTTATGGTTAAGATAAAAAGCACAAGAATTTATCGAATGAGTAAGATGCAAAGAACCAAGAATTTACCATAGAAGCAGTAAGATTCAGAACACTATAGAATTTGTCATCTAGCGAGTCGAATGCAGATGAAAGGTATTGCAGAGAGAGATATGGTAGTGCTACCCCTTTCAGGTCACCAATTAGGTAACTGCATGACACTAGTAAGCAAAGACAAGGCCTTAACTCTGAACAGGCCAATCTGTAGATAAATACACTGCTAAAGTGATATCTCAGTCTTAAAAACTAAATTGCTTTCAAAGGCATTTATTACAACTGTCAGATAAAAGTATTAAGAGGAGAGACAGTTTAAAATCTACTATCTACTTCAATTGAAAAAAAATTAAATACAAAACTACCAATTCCAAGAAAAATCTAAATTAAAATTTGTGACATGCAATAATGGTGGTTCCCTGTTTGAAATTATGGATTATATAGAACCGTAATAACATTCAAATTTTCTACAGCGTTAATACGATTGCCAACTTGAATCGTGAAAAAGGAATCCTTCCTAAAGTTGATTTTACGATAGTATGGTTCGATTTGGATGGAATTATGCTTCAATTTAGCGTCTTATTAAAGTTGTGGTTGCATGAAATTTGAAAAACATTATAATTAAAGTTGATTGCAACTGATCTGATTTTATCGAAAGTGTAGTTATCAGTTGTTGAAGAAAAAGAACATTGCTTGCTGCCATTTTTTTTCTTAAAAATCCATTTTATTTTTTCTAATTTATCTAGAATATAAGAAAATGAAATAGGCATACGTCATGAAGTGGAAAGGCTGCAGCGTATGCTCCTTCTTCTGTTAGCCTGTCTATTCCTATTTGTGCTCTTCTTCTTTTCCCGTAGACAGCTGTTTGTAAAATGGCATAAACAATACGAATTCTCTGTGTACGACTAAAATAGTCATCTTGGTTATCACTACCTAAAAATCTAAAATGAAAAAAAAAATTATCATAATACTTTTCGAAAAATGTTTGAATCATAAGAACAACATGCTGATTTATTAAAAAGTAAACTATTTAACCATTTTCCTGATTATCCCGAGTTAACCGGGTATGTATACATTGCAAATATTTATTAGCCCGAAAAAACTCGGGGCGCAACAGAATTTATCAGTGCGTTTTGTTTGATCAGATTTTTACTCGGCCGGAAGCAATAATAATAATAATCCACCGTGATGGCTCAGGGGATAGAGCATTCTCCTTCCAATGAGGTGAACAGTGTTCGAATCCTAGCGATGACTGGTCGATACGAATTCCACAATCGGCTTGCACCGACCACAGTACTGAAGTAAAATATACCCAGTGGTAGACGGATCATGGGTTAGAGTACCTTTGCCGTCAAGCAAATAGTGGGAGGTTTTCCTCTCCATGCAGCGTAAATTCTAGTTAGTTCCATCAAAACTCCTCCAGGAAGGCAAATCTTTCCCAATACTTGATCCAGGAGTTCCCTTGTCTTCTGGATTGGGTTCAAAATTACAAGGCTACGGAATTGAACATTAGTAGTTGTAAGCCCAAATATTGCGTCGGTTTTTCAACGACGGTTATAAAATAAAATAAATCAATCTGCTGTGATTAGAAGTTTACCAAGTTTTGTTTGGTAGTTATGCTGTTGGATTGTGGGAATGCACGTGTTTTGTGTATACAATGGTTGCTGAATTTACATTAAAAGGAAAGTGTTACAAAAGTGGCGTATCACTTTGTGTTCTCCCTTTATTTCAAAAATTATTATACAAAGACTTATATTTAACTGTTTTCATTTGCCTGAGATAGCTCGGGATAGTAAACTGATGGTAAATTAAATGTTTTTTACTCATAAAAAAATTAAAATTTCAGCTTAAAACCTGTGTATTATGCTTTGTTTTAAATAATTGTATTTATTAATGAAATTTCAAAAAAAATATGTTGATTTTCAAATTTTCTTTTTCAAAAAAAGAAAAAAAATGGCAAAGGAAGCGGTTAATTTTATTTGTAAAAAGATAAAATCTGAAATATATTTAGCAGAACGAAAGTAGGTTGAGTTTGGTTTCTATTTAATATACATATTAATAATCTTTATTGCAACATGAGACAAATCATCAAGCAGAAGAATAAGTGATTATTTATTATGAATAAAATCGGAAACTTACTTGTCAAGTTTTGATTTCTTGAAGGCGCACGTGTAGTAATCTAATGGTTTGTTAGGAACGTCTTCTTTCATTATATTTGGAATGTAAAGAAATCGAAGAATATGTTCGGACCAGTTGTGACTAGGATTCGGATGTGCCTACAGAAAATGACGGGAGATTAGAAATCATTCCATTAATAAAAATATTATAGTATTTAAGCATGCTTAAAATGTTATGAATGATTTTCTAACTCAGTGTATTGCTAATCCAGTGTTCTTATTTTTGTGATAATCTTTAAGAATATCGCAATAAAGTTAGTCACATGAAAACATTAACGAAACATTTTCTTTGCTGTAATGGCCTAAAATATTTATATTTTGGACACTCCAACTGCGAAATTAGACAGAAATTTGGCTTCAAGGAAGATTGGTGTACCAGGGGAAAAGCAACAATTTTATAATACTCATACATTCATGCATGTTCTCATGCGTAACACCCATAAGAATCTGAAAGCATAAAACATGAATTAAAAAGTAAAAAAAAAAAAATGCTAACAGGAGAAATGGACAACTCTCTGTCAATTTCTCCATAAGACAGTTTAGATGTTTCTGTGGCAAGATGTCATGTGACATTCTGTGTGTCTTCTTGATCGGGAATGCTGATTTCATGCTCTGTACAGGTTGTCGAAGGGCATAGGGAAACTATCCTTCCCAGAATCTTCCGGATATTCTTTACTGACTTCAGGTCAGGAGATCTGACTGGCCAATCCATTTGGTGAATATTCCAATTTCCAGAGATACGATGAAGATGAGGTGTATAGCCTTAAATCTTATTATCAATGCGTAGTTTTTTAATACTTTGTAAGGAATCTGACTAATCCGTTTGCGAAAAGTTAACAACAGCAGAAGAGAGCCGAAAGAGACTGGAAGCGACGGAAGAACGATGAAAAAAAATGTAGAACATGTAGAAAAAAATGTAGTGATCGGAAATTGGAGACAAAGCGTGGATTTGGCCTGAGAACAATGTGACTTTGTAAAATAAGTCACTGTTTAGAAGTTTAGTATAAATTAATTTTTTTTTCAAAATACATGTGCCATCAATAAATTATTTAGTTGTTTTTATTTATTTATTTGAGTACTTTTTTATAATTAATAGTCAAATCAATCTTCGTAAAGCATTCAATATTGAAAGTGTTTTTTCATTCCTTTCGCGAAGAAAGATTTAAAAAAAATGCAGTTTAAGTTTCTTACAGTTGAGGCGAAGCTATAATTTTATGCTAAATACAACATCGATCCGTAAAGAATCTTATGGGTTTTAGAAAGAAAATATTTAATTTTTTTCCTCGCAATTGGGCATTTTTTTTCCTTAGAAAGAAATAAATCAAAACCAACAAATAATTTTCAATTCTTGTAAATTTTTAGGCAGCGTTGAATTAGTACCTTTTCAATCTAAAAACTTATATCACAAAGTTTTTCTTTTTTCCTAATTGTAGCCTTTTTTCTTATCGACGTTTTCAACCATTTTCATTATTAGAACAGAGATCACTGGCTTAAAAATAGGAAAAACTTGACCTAATCATCATTTCTAACACTATTGCTGTTGCAAATTCGCAGCAATTATGAAAATAGCATATTATTCACAAAAAATCGTTATTTCGTGTTTCCACAGAGCTTTCGAAAAACAGCATTAATGACATCTATCTACACAGTCTTTCTGCTGTGTAACAATTAAAGATCACTCTTACATAATTGAACACTTTTCATTTACTTATTTTGTAAGTAATAAAGCATACTTGAAGGGGTGCACGCATGCACAGTTGTTCAGCGTAGAGAACCAGAACTGGCCATGGTGCTGACAATTTAATGAAGTGAATTACGCTGCTTTCACTTTCCACAGTTTCCTGCAAAAAAAAAATAAAAGTTATCAATCTATAATGAAATTAAAATTTAGAATTTTATTCATATCCATTCAATGTACTTAATTTAATTAATTTCAAAAAATAAAATGTCATTGCATTTTTTTTTCGCAATAGATAGCAGTAGTGCAGTTTTTGAAATACTTGAAGCAATTGCAATAATAATTTTTACGTCATTGATAGCTTACAGTTTATGCTTCATTGCAAAGAACAAATTGAGCTATTTTGTAGAGTTTTGGAGATTTCACAGCACGTTGAACACAGAAGATCAAAGTGTTCATTTGCGCCATAATGTACTATTTTACTTCCGTAGAGGAAAGAACGCCTGTCAAACTAGTGAAAAATTGCTTAAAGTTTACGATGACGATGCTCAACAAGAGTGTCAATGCTAAAATTGGTTCAAGAAAGTCCGAGCTGCTCCTCGTTCCGGAAGGCTTACCCGGAATTATGATGACAAAATAACGGCATTGATGGGCCGGAATAGCCTGGTCGGTAAGGCGCTGGGCCCATGTCCGAGTTCGTGGGTTCAAACCCCGCCTGCCGAAGACTCCCCGTGTAGTTGGTGACTGATGCACGGTAAAATTCTGTCGAGTCACAAAGTCCTCCATGTTCCCATAACAAATCAATACCTCTGGGGGGTACTGGACTGGAGATCGATCGTTCTCTGATTCAGATCAAAATTACGATCAGTGGATGAATGAATATCCATTCATTCATCCACTGATTGTAATCCACTGATAGTATGAATGGGTCCGCCTTATAAACAGATGTGACGTATGATGTGGCAGAAGTCGAATTCGTGGCCATAGATGGCGTCGCTGAAAAAACAAGAATCGCACACTCTCTGCCTTAAATTTGCTCGGTTTCACCAAGCAGGCTTGCCCGTGTGGCACGTGGCATTAGAACCAACCAACCAACGACATTGATTCAGTCAAAACCACGTTACACGACTCGAGAGATTGCGGAGATATTGAAGATCAGTCAAAAAAAGCATTCACTCCCATCCAAAGAAACTGGGATACGTAAGCAAGCTCGAAATTTAGGTTCCTCATGAATTGGAAGAAGTTAAATTGACTGCTGCTCAAACAAACATCTCCGATATGCTCAGTAAACACGAAGAAAACAAGAAAAAATTTAAGCGATAGAATATTCCATTACGACAACGCGAGACCACATACATCTTTGGCGACTGGTCAAAAGTTATCGGAGTTTGGATGGGATGTGTTGCTCCACCCACCATACTCATCTTATCTTGGGTCATCAGATTTTCTTTTGTTTTGCTCTTTTCAAAACTTCGTGCGTGGAATAACGTTAAATCCTGATGATGCTGTAAATCAGCATCTTGTTCAATTTTTCTCGAATAAAGTTAGGTTTTTTTTTTTACGAACGGAGAAATGTGAAGCTCAGCAAGATGGCAAAGGGTCATCAAACAAAGGGAAACATATATCATTGATTAACCATAAAACTTTATATAAATATATGACTTTGAAAAATATGGAGAAAAAAAAACGCAATGACTTTTTGCTCAACCCTATACTTAAAGTATAAAAAAGTTAAGTGATGTTTTGTAACGCTGTATTGTATGTCATAATCTGTTCGACATTAAAAAAAATTATTGCATTAAAATAGCGTAGGAAACAAAAGTATAAATAATGTAGTTAAAAATGATCGTTTTGGTTCTATCAAAAGCATCATCATTAGCATCGAGTCATAGAATGAAGAGAAATATAGTGTTTCTCTTAAGATCATCATTGAGCTTCTCTTCGTAATCTTCAACTGTTAATCATCATCATTGTCAAGATAAAAAAAATACAGACAAAACGGTATTTTCTGTATTTGCGAATAGTTTGGGGGTTTTCTTTTGTAATGTGAACTGCCAGTGTCGAGACAAAAAAACTTTAGGTAAATCGAAGGGAAAAAAGGATTTATAATCCGGAACTGATTTAAGTTTCTCTCTACCCTGGGAAAAGTACCAAATTTCAGTATCAAGACAAAAGGTAAAGAAATATTGACAAAATGGCATTTTCTGTACTCTCTTCCCCTTGTGCTTTTCTTCTCATTATGAAAAGCGCTGTCACCAATGTTAATACAAAAAATGTAGTAAAAATATAATGAAAACCAATTTTCTATAGTCATCAACTTAAAGCTCCTTTTTGAACTGCGAGAAGTACCAAACTTCAGTGCCCCGATAAACAACGAAAAAAAAAATTTTTTTTTTAAATCATAATTTTTTTTGCCCTTTAGAATAGTATTAAGCTTCTTTCCACATTGTGAAAAATACCAGCGTCAATTTCGAGCCTCAAAATAAAGATAATACAGAAAAAAAAAAAAACATTTTTACTAACACATTTTCTGAATAGCAGTGAACCAATCTCCGTATCATGAGAATTGTTGTCATGACTGTCGTTCAGACACAGAATGAAGACTATAAAAAAGGAAAAAATTACTTCCTTTTCTCACTTTTCTTCATGATAACACCGACTATATCTTCATGCTGCAAGAAGGACCGTCTTCAGTGTCGAGTCATAAAACGAAAGAAACTTTTTCAGTTTTTTCTTTTTAAAATAGCATTCAGCCTCTCTACTCTCTACATATTGCAAGACGTACTAAACCTCTGTAGCAAGAAACAGAATGAAGAAATATACAGAAAAATGTATTTTTCAGTATTTCTCTCTAAAACATTATTGAGCTACTCCCATACTATGAAAAACACCATTTATCTGTGAGATTACAAAGAATGAAGAAAAAATATTAATATTGAAAAAAATAGAATTAAAATATTGAAAAAAAATGTACGGCTTTATTTCGGGATAGCAATGAGCCTCTTACCGTACACTGAAATGCACCATCATCAGTATCGCAAAATATAAAGATATACAGAGAAAAATAAATTTTTCTGTATTTCTCGGCGGAATAGCAAAAAGCTTTTACAGCCTTCAAACGAATCGACGTTTCGTTCTTTTTTTTTCTCTTTTTTTTCTGTTCATAAATACATTATTTATGCTTTTATTCGCTGAGTTACGCTTTTTGGATTACGTAATTTAGTTTCACTATCGAGCAAAAATAAAAAAGACACTTTTTTCAAACGGCAAAGATGTCTCACAAGAATGCAATTAAATGATAATGTTAAAAAAAAACAGCATTCATATATTTCAAGGGATTTCTTTTTCTGTTGGTCCTAATTCACACTTACTTCTTCCATGTGAAGTCCTGCTTTCACTAAATTTGCCATAAATTTTTTCCTCCATGCTTCATGCTTATGCGTTTTCTGCGCAAAACCTTTTGGTAAAGGCTTGTCATCGGTGGATTCTTCGTACACGAGCACATAATCTGTAAAGAATATGCATAATGAGAAGGGTGAAATGATAGGTTTTAGGTTACTCTAACATTAACGATCAGTTTACAAACCTATTTTTCGTTTTCCATCTCTAAAATATGTATATTTGTCACATTTTGGCACACTTGGTATTATAATACCGCAGTCATTACTCAAGGATTCAGTTTCTTCTTCCTAAGAAAGAAGAAGCATTTCAATAATCACTCTACAGTAACAATGATAAAAATTTAAATAGAGTGCAAAAAATTTGCAAAATTTTCAAACATTACAAGAAATTTGTATTCAGTGTTGTAAAAAATTAAATAAAGCATCTAAATGTCTTTTGATCTAGTAATCGGAATTTCTTATACTAATATGTAATCATAATGCTTCGATGACAAAAATTAAAATAATTTTAAATTGAGTACAATACGCAAAACAAGAAAAAAAATGAACTACTCTAAATAAATTTTGATTTAATGAGCTAACAATCAAGGACTCAATCTTAATGGTTCGAAAGGGTGATCTCAAATGACTATATTTTAAATTACGAATTCAGACACAAAAACGCACTTTTTTAGATTAAGCATACCTTTTTTCCACAGAATCGGATTTCAGGCCCTCCAAAACTTTTTAAGCGAATTGAAAAACTTTTGCTCGCAATTATAAAATACATTATTCCAAAGATAATTCCATGAAAAAAATAACTTTTATTATATATCCATTAATATTTTTTATTATTATTTAATAATAATCGAAAAATTTTGAATTGTAAGGTAAAAAAAATTTTTTTTTTTGCATTTTAAAGAATGTGATTTTACATGGCAAAATACAAAAGTTGACGGAAATCAATTCAACAGTTCCTGAGAAATCGAATTTTACGCAAATAAATTTTTTAAAATGTTGTTTTGCAGTAATTATTCGGTTAGTTTTGCTTTGAAATTACTTATAAAGTTGCGTACATTACGATTTAAAAGTTTTCGGCTATTAAATAAAAAACAAAAAATAAATTAATATTTACAAAAATATTTTAGCATGGAATTGTCTTTGGATAAATGAATTTAATTGTGTTCAAAAATGTTTTAATTCCCCTAAAAAGTTCTTGAGATGTGGAGAAACACGCAAAAAGTAAAATTAACATTAAGGAGTCTAAACTTTGACCCGCTCTCCTGACCAAACTATTGGGACCCTATTTCCCCGATTGCGGCTGCCCCTATATTTTGAGAGTCAGAAATCATTATCTATCGAAAAAAAAATTATGTTTATTTAGAGAAAGTACGTTTTTGTGTCTGATTTCATAACTTAAAATATCGTTTGCCCTAATTAATTAGAATATTTAGGTTGCTCCCAAATTGGGTATACATCGAATCAGAATATCAGAATATACAAATCACTTTATTTACCGACAAATAAGAATATATACGAACAATGATGAACAGACGATAGACACTTAACAAAAATAATTTCGCGAAAATAACTAAAATAAATAATATATTAGGTCAAATAACTCTTTTTCAAATAAATTATAATAGTACATTACTCATTTATCACATTAAACTCGAAAAATACTTGCACTCAGTAATATAATAAACTACTCTCAACATTGAAGATTTAAGAAGGTCAAAAATCAACCGTTGCTATTATGCTTCCCAAACTTATAATTACTTATATTTATTATTATTGGTAAGACAACCCCTTTCTATAGATAATATACGTAACCTCCCTGCAGAAACTGCCCGGATATCATGTTAACACGGAAACACATTTTCGAGTGCCCAGCAGATGTTCCGAAATTGGGAATGGCGCCATTTGAGGACAACAAAGACAAATCTGCAGTCTATCTGCAATCGCATAGAGTTTCGATGTTCTTTGAAAGTCCATGAACACGAGAAACAACGAGAACAACTAATTTGTCACTTTAAATTCGAAAATTCCATGGACTCATAAACTACTCTCAGCGTTGATGCTTTTCGAACGCCAAAAAGGAACCGTTGCTATGATGCTTCTCAAATAAATTATAATAATAAATTACTAATTTATCACGTTAAACTCGAAAAATACTTGGACTGAGTAATGTAATAACCAACCTACTTTCATCTTTGAAGCTTTTAGAACGGCAAATAACAATTGTGACTATGGGAATAAAAAATAAATAAACTAAAATAAAGCGTGTCATTTGCAGTTACGTGAAAGAAAAATATTGTTTATGCGAACCTTAAAAAAAGATCGCAATTTCCAACAGAGGTCATTCCCCTAAACCATTAAGATTGAATCCAAGAAATGATAAAAGTCATTCAGGATAGTCCCCCCCCCCTCGTATGTTCATTGAAATTCGCAGTGTGTAAAATGTTAAAAAAAAAATTAACACATAAATAAATTTTTATCTTGTGATCGGATTTTCACGAAATAAGTTGCAATATCAATGCTAAGAGGGACAAAACTCAATTCGCTAATTAGTGAGAAAAGTGGTAAAAAGTTTGGATACAAAATCCTAATTCCAGATTTAGTGCATTTCGATTGATAAAAATTTGAACAAAAGTAATTGAACAGTTCTTTTTTTTATTTTTACGTTGAAATTTTATTATTAATAAACTATTCGCTCTACTTTATTCAAATTTAATATTTAGTCATTTAAAGAAAACGTAGTTTCAAGTGGTGTAAAAAACTGTATGCCTCGCACATCAATATCTTTTTTGTTTAAATAAATAATAAAATAAAATTATTTTTTTTTTACAATTACCTTTAGATAAAATTTTAAATAGTTTCCAAAATACAGTAAAAATTATATTAAAGAACACAATTTTCGACCGTTGTTCGACCGTTAAATAAATTATATTAACCATACCCCTCATATTTTCAGGATAAAAGTTACAAATCCCATCGAGCAAAAAAAAAAACATGTTTATTTGTAGAAATAAGCCGTATTTGAATTTGCAACTTAAAGCATCGTCAGCAAAACTAGGTACTCTTGAGTGCTTAGTTTTTCTGACTAAACTTCCAAACCATTGCATCTTAGTATTTTTCGCATTATGCTTGTAGTATGTGAATGACGCATATTCCGTATGTCTACAGAAAAAAAATCTGGAATAAATAAATATAGGTAGTTCAGTTTTAGAAAACCCAGTTTGTAAGCGTCTAAAAAAAAATTTTCCTTCTATTTTTTTTTTTCGATTTAAAACTTAAATAGCCTGTTATAAAGTTAGTTCTTGCTCACATGAAAACATTTTTAGATCCTTTGATCCTTCGATCTCTAACCTTTGAGCGGGAATTAAGCTAGAGAAAACTTCAAGTCACAGACTTATTTTATTCTGACGGTACGAATAATAATCATTTTAATTATCATAATGATTTAAATAGTTTAACAAAAATGATAGATATTGTTTCGCTAAGAAATTGCCCTATTTTCCACTTTTTTAAGCATATTATTTATGAATAATATAGAGCATGAAGATAGTTCTCAACATAAAAATTTTCTAAAGCAATAGATCCAAAATTAAATAGATAAAAGGAAAAAAATATTTTTTGTAAGTATTTATAAAAATTACGAATGTAGAGCTTTTTAATACATTAGGAAACATCAGCAGTAACGAACTTTAAACTCAAATACATTTTTAAATAATTATTTTTGGCACTTTAATTTTGAACAATTATTGTTATTTTGTTTACAAATCTGTTAAAATTATTCAACTGGGTTCGACACATTTTTTTAAAAACGGTTTTAATTGAAATTTTAATTTATTTTTGGTAAGCATGGGTGTTAAATTTATAAATTTAAGGTAATCTTTAAAAATTTATATTTTTTTGTTCATAAAAGGAAATTTGGAGCTTAAAAAATACAAATCTTTCACGTCCTAATACCAGCTCTACAACAAATTGTAATTCATAAATATCAAAAAGATTTTTACATACATCAATAATATAATTACCTGTATATTTAAAAAAAAATACTTACAAAATTTTAAATGTAAAATTAAATATATTGTTCAATATTGATTTTTGAATGAAAAATTCTAAACATTCTTACATTTACAGCATTATACAAAAAATAAATTCCCACTTAGACCTTAGCTTCAATTGAGCCTTTGAACTGATCTTCAGAATTTTATAATAAATATTTTTCCTACTATGTATTAGTGTAGAGGAATTTTTTTTAAATAAACGTTCTTCTGAGAATGCATTTAAGGTATGTATTTTCCAAAACATACTAAAAAATTTATTTTATATGGACAAAATAATTAGAAATCATAACAATCATTCTCAATTTAAAGAGATTTGGAAAGCTAATGAATATAAGTTCAAAAATAGAGAGTAAAAAAATTTAAATTTTCGTCGAAATCGCCTATTTTTACCAAGTCAAAAGCTCAAACTATCATTTTATGCCAATATCGTTACACATTTAAATAAATCGAATTAAAAATAATAGTTGTTATAAGACTCACACAGAATTATTTGTCTTTAAATTCTCTGCGAGCAATTGGTTACCTGGTTTAAAAGTGTAAGTACATAGATATAAGATAATGTATAAACTTTGCATGAATGTTTGATTGTTTGATGAGCGAATCATGTGATAAAAATTACCTATGTCACTTATCTATGTCAGAAAGGATAAGTATTTTCGAAGTAACGACCACTATAAGAAAGATATCATAGCTCTTTTACAATGAATTCACATGAAGAGTTATTTAATAATAAATAAATAGTTTGGATATATTTAGGAACTTTGATTTTCAAATATAGAGGTAGGTGGTTGTAATTTTAGTTTTTTTAATTATTTAATTTTTTTTCGTTACTCGGTGTCGAACTTTCCAATACGCTAAGAATGGGAGCCACTGGAGATATTGTAAAAAAAAAAAAAAAAAAAAAAAAAACCTGCATTATTACTAGAAAATCTCTATGAAACTGCGATTTTATAAACTTTTCTAGTAAAGTAATTGCTTTAAACATAGCAAACCATCGCAGACCTGATGCTCCATGATTTTCTTTCTGGGGTCATTTTTATCCTCTTCTCCTAGTAGATTTCAAAGACTCGAAATGATGTATTACATCCAGTACCAAGGCAATTGATTCTGATGCTCTTATTTGGGGAAAGTGGATTACCGTTTCGATGTGCGTTGTGACATTAAGAGTTTGATCATAGAATCTATCACTGTTTTTTTTTTTTTTTTTTTTTAAGATTTAAAACATTCGCCTTGACTTCTGTAACAGGTGACGTTAAATATCTTAGATCGTCACGGTTACAAAAGGCGCTTAAGTTGAATATTTACATATAGATCACCCACTGTATCATTTAGTAGAATTTATCTGAAAATATGTTATCATTACAAATGTATTCCCTACCCTCTATCTTTAGTTATTACCTGATACTCCGATTCACCCTTGCTGATTCTGATAACTTATATTTACGTAGCATTAGTATTTCATTAGATTGTTTTTTTCTTTTCTTTTCAAGTAGTGATTTCCTCAGACTCTACTAAAAATTGTGTGCAGCTGTTCATAAATTAAGGAACATTTCGCTATCTTCTTTTCGCAGTTTTAGACGATGGAAAAGACGATTTATAGAAATAGCGGTTGTGTAGTAACATGGAAAATAGAAAACATTCACTGCTTGAAGAAGTTGGCCAAAGTATATAGCCCATATTTCTTTATTGGAACAACACACAAAATTGAATGGCAGATTAAGATGATTCCAGCATATGCAGGTTGTTATTTCGATTTGGTTAAAGCAATGAAGGGACGGCAATATCTGAAAACTTAAGTGTTAGTTATTCTTGCACAGCGACGTGGAAGGCTGGAGATATTCCTGAGAAGGTAGGAGTACTATCTTTTCAAGAATTTAGACATTGTAGCCTATGCAATGCATTCCATAATTCAAGAGATATAGATATAGCTCCTACAACTCTAATATTCCGGTGCTATTTTCCTATTATTTCAGATGATTATAACTCGATAATGAATCAGTATAAATTTCAAACTGTTGTGGAAGCAGAACATCAAAGAATTCAGTATACAATTCCGAAAATCAGCATCTTAGATGGTCGAAAATTATTCATTCCTGCTCCTTTGGCGTGCAGATTGACTGTGCCATTTGAAATGGAGTTGAGCTCACCCGAAACCGATGTACTTTATTTTTATGTCAGAAAGATTCCAAAAAACAAAAACGCGTTTTTAATTTGTAAATTTTCTATTGCTGATGAAAAAGGAAACAACTTGTACACAAAAACTGACAGCAACGAATTTATTGATGATCCTGAACATTTGAAACTCAATACTTGGTGTTTACAGACTCCCATTTATACAAAGGTCTTAACGTCAAACAAATCACGTACTTTGTCTTTAGATATTGAGTTTTTGATATCAGAATATAACACTAACACTTGGAGGGAGGCGTTTTCATCCATAGCGATTGACCAAGCAAAAGTGGTTTCCTCCAAAAAACCCCGATCATTTAAGCTAGAGGGAAAATACCTTCTCACTGCCCTTTGTGTATGTGGGCTTATGAAACCAGAGCTATTTATTCTATTAGCCCCAATTTTACTTTTCTTGTACTTCTTCAAATAGAAGCCTTATCTTCAATTTGTCTTTTTATTTTGCTTTCCAAAGAAAAAAAAATCAACCAGGTTAATGTCTTTCAACATGAATTTTCAATTTTTTTTTTAATTTTAGTTATGTTTAAAACAATATTAAAAGAAAGACAGAAGCAGCTTTTTACAAGAATTGTGTGATTCGAGAATTCTATAGTTCAGTATGAAGTTTATAGATTATAGAACTAAAACTGTAGCATGTCTGTTATAGGGGTTTTATTTCATCCAATCCAAGAAGGCATCTAATGGACGATTAGGGACAGTCAAACCAAATCTAGGCTCTAATTTTTTTTATGAAATTAAATATTTTAACAACTAAATAATTGGGTCGAGTAAAAAAATGAAATGATTACGAAGAACAATTTTTTAAAATAAATTTGATAAATTAGTTTTTATTAACTATCAAATAGTTAAAATTTAATAATTAATTAAAATTTAAATATTTTTTTTTTACATTTAAGATAAATTGAGAACAATCTGTTAGATATAATTTTTCCCGTAGAATAATTCCAGCTCAGCGTAAAATAAAATTTTAAATATAAATTTAGATTTTTTATAATTCTATATACTTTCACTCTTATTTTAAATCAGAATTTCTAAAACTGTGGGTCCCAATACCGATTAGGAGGGTGGGACCTGCAGCAGTGTTCTCCAAAAATTTTAGCAATTTAGATATTTCTGTAATGTATTGTAATAATATTATAATTACCAAATGTTTTTACACAATGTAACTGACGCATTTTGACTGACGTTTTGACGCATTTTTATCACTGTATTATATTTTTAAGTTTGTTATTTAATCAATATTTTGCATTGTTCTATGTTTTAAAATTAAAAAGCCCTAAGACTTCAATAGTATATTTCAGTACAAGTAAAGAAACTGATAATTTCGGATTTGTGAAATGCTTATGGGGTCCCCTAATATTTTTGTAAATATTATGGTAACCACCACACCAAAAAGTTTACGAAACTCTGTTTTAAATTACATTAATCCACCCCCCCCCTCTCCAGTGGTTACTCTTCTTTTTTTCAGTGGCATCGAATGGAGAAGTTAACCTCGGGTATGAACACTAGTGTGGTTTTTATTAACATGGGGTAAACTTTTTTTCATTAAATCTTATACGGCGCTCTCTTAGGAGGTGCAATATGGTATAAAATTAATATTTCGAAAGTTTCTGCTCAATAAAATAATATTAAGACCCCTACCTAATTTTAACATTAAAAAGAAATTTTTTTTCCTCCAAACATTTATTTATTTCATAAGTGGTAACACAAATAGAGCCATTTTTGTAGATAATATTTTTAACTTCTTTTTTTATGATATGACAAAAACCTATTTGTAAAGCAATAATGTCTTATTAAATATACGGCTTTTTCAAAATTTGATTTCTCAGAAACTATGCAACCGATATCGCTCAAATTTTGTATTTTGAGATGTAAAATTAAGTACTTTAAAATGATGTAAAAGACTGTATACCGTAAAATTCAAAATGTTTTCTACTATTCTTAAATAAAATAATAAAAAAATAATGCATATTTACTGGAATTTACTTTTTGTGTTGAATTATCTTTGGATAAATGAATTTCATAATTGTGGGCAAAATTTTTTCAATCTGCTTAAAAAGTTCTCAAGATATGGAGAAATACGATGAGCAAACTATATGGACCATATTTCTCAAGTTGCGATTACTGCCTATATTTTATGGATCAGAAATCCGAATCCGTCGAGAAAAAGGTATGTTTATTCAGAGAAAGTACGTTTTTGCGTCTTATATTATAACTAAAAATATCTTCTGCACTAATTAATTAGCATAGTCGAGGTTACCCTCTCGAACCATTAAGATTGAGTCCTAGAACGTGAAGATCCGATCTTTAGATCAAAAGTTATTCATTGTGGTGTGTTTTTTAATTTTTACTTATTTATTTATTTTTTTGGCCCACTATACAAAATGTACAAAAGAAATTCCCCCTGCTACAATTTACCGTGATATTATAGCAAATCTGCCTCAATAGTCATCATCACATATTAATTTTGAGATCAATTTTTAGTTAGAAAGATCAATTTTTAGTTTGATCAAATATAATCCTTCAATTTGAAATTTTTTACAGTTTAAGGTAACGTTTATCAATAAAAATCATAGAAAAAAAGTACAAATTGATGATGAGCTAGCCAAATAAAAAAATTAATGACATCGAAGATGTTGTTGGACAACTGTTTCTAAGCAATTGCAAAACCCAAATTATATCTTCCAGGGCGAGAATATAAATAATTCTTGTAAATTGTGTTAGATATTTTATTTTGTTATAGATTCGTTGCTAAGCGACTGACCCTTTTCTGAGTTTATGACTACCAATCTTCAACTCCGCAGCCTTGTAATTTTGAACATTGTAGCCTTGTAATCCAAAAGTCACGGGAACTCTTTTATCAAGTATGAGAAGAAATTTGAAGGGTTTTTTGCGGGAACTATCTCGCACTTGCGTTAAATGGAGTGGAAAACCACCTAAACATACCTTGGTTACCCTGATGGCAAGGGAACTCTAACCAATGATCCATCTACCACTGAGAATATTTTACGTCAGCACTATAATCGGTGCGAGCCAGGTGAGGGTTCGAACCCGGGTTACCTCATTGGGAGGCGAGCACTTTACCCACTTAGCCACCACAGCTCTAAGCTTGATATGTTTTATTTCCGTCATTGAGCAGCCGAAACAATTTTGGGTTTACGACTACTAATGTTCAACTCCATAGTTTTGTAATTCTGAACCAGTCCAGACGACAATGAAACTCCTAGATCAATAGCCCAGAGGTATGATTAGTAAGGGGAACATGAAGGACTTTGAGACTCAACAGATTTAACGTGCATCAGTCACCATTTACTACGCAGGGAGTCTTTGGAAGGCGAGGATCGAACCCACGACCTGTTGGACGTGGGTCCAGTGCCATACCAAACAGGCTTTCGCTGCCCTATACTTAATATTTCTTTTTCATATCCGTCGTTGAACAGCCTACCCAATTTTGAGGTTACTACTATTAATGTTCAACTCTGTGGCCTTGTAATTTTGAACTGATCCGGAAGACAAGGGAACTCCTGGATCAGTACCTCTAGAGGTATTGATTTGTTATGAAAACATGGAGGATTTTGCGACTCAACAGATTTAACTTGCTACTTTATAATACAGGGTGGTTCGATCGGCGGGAATCGAACCCACCCAAGACCTCTTGGACATAAGCCCAGTGCTCTGCCAACCAGGCTATCTCGGCCTTATGCTTGATCCAGAATTGAAATATCTGATTTAGAGTCAGAAACTGTCGATAAAATGTTGTTTTTCATATATTCAGATATTCTGAAAGAGAGGAATTGGGACAGCGTTATTAAACGGTATGTTGCTTCAGATAAATATCAGATTACGACTCTAAAAGATAAGTGTGCTTCGATTTTGATTGATCAACTGTCATCGAAAAATGCTTGTGAGGTCTTACATCTCGCTGATATGCATTGTGATTCAGACTTTCTGGATGCAGTTCAAGATTTCATAATCACCCATGACGAAGAGATTTTTCAGTCTGAAGAATGGAAAGAGTTTATGGACTCCCATTCAAAAATTGCTTGTCAGACTGTGCACAAGGCATGGCTACATCGCCCTAAAAAAACTGTAAAGAAGATAGATTGACTCTTTTCGCTTAGGATTCTTATGAAGAACGTACAGTGTGCAAAAAATTAATAAAGACATAAGCGAACCAGCATAAATACCTTTTGATCTAATAATTAGATTTTCACGTTCTGGGACTCAAACAAAATAGTTCGAGGGGGTGACCTCAAATATTCTAATTAATTAGCGCAAAAGATATTTTAAATTACAAAACCAGAGACAAAAACGTACATTCTCTTAATAAACAGACCTTTTCTTCGACGGATATGGATTTCTGATCTCCAAATTATATGGGGTAGCCACAATATGATTTTCACAGTTTTATCAGGACAGCAATTCAAATTTTGGACCCCTTAATACTAATTTTAGTTTTTGCGTATTTCGCCATATCTTAAGCAAATTGAAGAAAAATTTTGCATGCAATTATAAAATTCTTTCATCCAAAGACAATTCCATGCAAAAGATTATGTTCAATAATATTTTTATTATTTTATTTAATAATAGTCGAAACAATTTTGCATTGCAAGATTTAAAAATTTCTTACATCATTTTAAAGAATGCAATTTTAAATTATTCAAAACTTGAGCAAAATCGTTCACACTGTTCCGGAGAAATTGAATTTTTAATGTCTTTTTTATCATATTTCACAGATCGCTCTTACTCCCTATCAGAAATCTGAAACAAGTCTAAAAATGGGGATGTTTATTCAGAGAATTTAGGCTTTTATAACTGATTCCGTAACTTAAAATATTGTCTACGCTTATAAATTTGCACATTTGAGGTCATCCATTCGAACCATAAAGATTGTTTCCTTGAACGCGAAGATCCGCTCATTAGATCAAAAGTAATTCAGGGTGGTCTGTTTTTGTTCCGCACTGTGCAGATGAAACAAAAACTAACTAATTTTTAACAAATTTGTTGTTTTAAAACTATGAAGTTTCCTATTTCTCAAGTTTGTTTGATTTTTAAATAAAAGAAGTAACTAGTTCATAAGTTCTCATCATTTTTCAAAGTGAGAGACCCTACTCCGCGACTATTTTACTTTTTTAGGGAGGATAATGATAAGATACTTATCACTCGAGGATCGTTGACTTGGCGGACTGGTGAGTGACAAACAATCTTCGTTATTTAATTCCACCCTATTTTGAGGAAATCGGTGCAGAACAACACCTTCTAGAAGAGAGAAGGTGACTGCAGGGATCAATTAAGCAGTCTGACGTAACAAACATAACTACACTATTAAGAAAGATATCTTGAAAGACTACTTAATTGGGCAGTGGAGGAGGGGTGAAATAAGAAAGAGGTCACAACGCTTGAACTACTTTAGGGATCGGATGCATATTTACTGGAANCCCCCCAAGTTTAACTTTTTCTTCAAATAGAGTTTTTTTTTTCTTTGAATTCAAGTTATTATTCATTTCAATACAGTTAATATATTAAAAAATGTGGTTACATGAAATTATAATTATTATAAAATTTATGTTCCTTGATTTTCAAAAAATATCGACTTATAAAAGCTAATTGTGGACGACAATCGCAAAGCTGGTGAGCGAAGTGAGCAGCCACTTGGCATATTTTAAAAAATATTTTAAACTAATTTTTATGTAAATGTATGCAGACAATATACTATGGTAAAAGATTGGGCTTGGATAAGTTGGTTGGTAGGGCACAGGGCCCATGTCAAAGAGATCGCGGGGTCAATCCCCGCCGGCCGAAGACTCCTCGTGTGAAAATGGTGACTGATACAAGTTAAATCTATCGGGTCACAAAGTCATCCATGTTTCCATAACAAATCAATACCTCTTGGGATATTGATCTAGGAGCTCCTTTGTCTTTTGGATTGGGATCAAAGTTACAAAGATTCGGAGTTGAACATTGGTAGTCTTAAACCCAGAATTGGATCGACTGTTCAATGACGGTAATAATTGTAATAGACGGATAAAGATTTATTATTTGGCACAAAGTATTTATAAATACTTCTTAAATGCTAAAAATATTTACATTTTAATGACTGAAAGCATCATAATTAAATTTGTTAGAAAATCATTGCTTATTTTTCATTAAGTATTTCACTACTGCCAAATATTTGTCAAATAAAAAATTAGATTTTTTTATGAAAATAATGATACTAATAGATTATAAGTAAGTGGTCAAATATATGCTTCCCTTATAGCTGTATGCCCGTTGACGCCCTCTCAGCACTTCAGAGCGATTTTAACAAACTCTTGCATTAAAACCATTAGGGCAAGATTTCTGTGCATGAAAACTTTCGAAAAATATGCATGGAAATTCGTATAACATGAAAATGTTCAGCCTCAGAATGGAAATCTATTCAAGAATCAATTAAATTCACTGACGTTTTCGTTTAAAAGAATGAAAAGAATTTAAGAACAACCAATGAAAAATATTGATTTTTCAAAGGTGCGTGAAAACAGTGATATTGTGTTTTCTTCTTAAAAATGTATAAATAGAATTGTAACTTCATAGATGTGTTACTTATTTTAAATAAATTTGTTTTTTGATTGAATGTTTGTTTCCTGTTTAAACTTATTACAACGCTAAATATTTTTTTTTAATAACTGCAGACACTGAATTTTTATTCTTCGCCTTAGAACATTCCGGAAGCGTTGCTCATTTATTGTTAACCGGTGAGCACCTGTAAATCAAAGTCACAGAGGCGAGTTACATTACCCACGCCATACTGCCACAGATACCCGTTTATAGGGTGGGTCACATTCGCACATTATACAACTCACAGTGAAATATCCATGCCGTGAGAGGGATTCCAACCCTCAGTCAGACACGCAAACCACTCAGCCACCAATCAGGCGCATCAAGTAATGTAGCCATATTAAATATTAAATAAAAATTATTTAAAAAAATATAATCAAGTTGTTTTAAACTAAATTTTATGCTCTGTGTTTAGTTTTTAGCATCATCTCTCGGTTACTAATCACTTACCTTATTGATGAGCAGAGGGGGGGGGGGAGAAAATCACTTTCTAATCTAAAAAATAATAATTTTTTTTCCCCATAAGAGAGGACGTTATCACCATAATTTTACTATTATATATTGAATTTTTTACTCATTATTAAAACAGCATTTGTCTTAACTTCACACATTTAGGGTAATTCTTATTATGTCATAGATAATTTTTTTTTTTTTAAAAATCAATTTTTTACCAAAGTTTTGCGGTTGAATTATTTGTTAACTTACCAAGAAAATGTCTTTAGGTTTTAATCATTCAAAATCAAATATTTAAGATCTGAAAAAGATAACGAGATCGAAAGTTTATTGAACCATTTTCTGAAAGAAAAAAGAACTTCGATTTCTTTTTTTTATATTTATTTCTCTTCAACAATATAAGGCATATCTAGAATTATTTTAGTTTCAAATTATTCAACAGCTACGAAGTGAATTTCAAAACTAAAATTTAAATTACTTGGTGATGACAGTTTTGGAAAAGATGGGCTAAAGTAAAAAAAAATGTATTTGATAGCGAAAGTGAACGTAAATTGAAAATATACTAGGTGACGAGAGCGTGATGCAATCGTCACCCAGGAATTCTTATGTCTGGAAGTCACGTGACTTAACCAGATATAAGAATTTTAACACAAGCGTTCGTTATTTGCATTCTCTCTCTTTGGCAATTGAAAATCGTCTGCAAGCACCTTGGGTTGTTTGGAAAAGTTTACTCAATTAAAAGGGTAAGTAGATTTAAGTAACTAATATTTACAATGTTTATGTAGTATGCTTAATTCATATTTTTAATGATTTTTGTATACGTTAAAAGACGATAATACTTTTTGTTTCTATCAATTCGGAGTATCAATTCGTAATGCTGCTGGCACAACAGCAATAAATATTTTACAGGAAATTCATAAGATCATGTTATGAGATTAAAAGTACATTTAATTATAATAAATATAATTTTATAATTGTAGAATATATTATTTAATTGTACGTTAAAGGAGTGAGTGACGCTCGATTAAGTATCCAAATAATATTTGTCCTTTAAATATTGTGTTTGCTTACATATATTGAGAAGTATAAAAAATATTCATAATATAATAAATAGTTTCATAATTGTATAATATATTATTTTGTCATATATTAAGGGAGTGAAGAACGTTGACTAAACATACAAATAACGTTTATCTTTTAAATGTTGTTTTTGTTTACATATATTGAGACATAAAAAAATAAGACGTCTTGGGAACTTTAAGTAAAAAAAAAAAGATTTTTACTATCATTTTTTTAATGTTCAATAATTAAATTCCAAAAATAACACTGGATAACAACAAAACTAAGGCAATTAAAACTAAAAGTAATCAAATTAGGCTATTTTAATTGTTTATTGTTCATAATGAATTTTGCTCCGTAGTTAAATAAGATAATAGTGTACGTATATATATATTTTGAGTTTCTAAATTCAAGCATTTTAGAAAAATTCAAGCATTTTAGAATTAAATTCTGAAAACTTGTCTTAACTCAATCTCGCTTTAGATATAGAAAGTTATGTGATGACAGTAGTCAAAACTTCAACCTTTATTTAGGGAATGTAGTCCTGATATTCCTGAAAATTAAAAAAATATTTTATCAAGAATTTTAGTTTTTCGTCCGATATTTCTGATTTTTGTGCGTGTTCAGAATAATTTATAAAAATGCAAATGTGGATTTTAAAGTAATGGATTTGAAAAATTGAAAATTTGAATTTATTTTAATTTTAACAGTACTTGCAAATATAACAAAATTCGAGAGTTCCAATTTTGGAACCGTCTACTAATTATATATATATATATATATATATAGTTTAGGCATATAGCTTTACCGCATCATTTCAACCTTTTTTCATTCATTTTATAGAAAAATCAGTCAATTGCCAATTTTACATCATCAAATTTTAATGCTGAGGAATTCAGGGGGTGTATATTTATTTATTATTTTACTCAAATGCAGTGACAAATATTGTAGTCTGGAGTCGGGTAATTTCTCAATTATTAATTTCTTTTTTGTTTTTG